AGTCCCGGGGCGGCTCTGCCGGTGCCTGGTGCGTTCCCGTAACGCGCTCCCGGTGATTTCCTTCTCTCCCCAGGGCCTCGGGCAGCGGCCGCGGGGGAGCGGCTCCGTTCGAGCGGAGGGGGCAGCATGGTTTGGAGTCCTCCCGGTCGCAGGCCGTCATAATCATGATCGATTTCAGTGAGTTTCGACTGTCTAACCTCTTGTCAGAATGGTGCCTTAGGCAGGTGATGCTTAAAAATAACTGTTTCTTCTCCTGCGTTCGTCCTGCGGCCGGGATGCACGGCAGCCTCTCCTCCCCCGTTACAGAAGGGATGGTGCCCTGAGCCCTGCGTTCTTACACAGCTCCGGTGGGACTGCTGCCGTCCGCATAAAGATCAGAGTGCTCCTAACAAACCCGCCGTGCCCAGCTGTAGTGCTGAACTGTTGTGGTTCAGAGCAAAGTATTAGTGTTTTGTGTTGTCGTGAGAAACAAACTGATTTTTAATAATTTGCTTTTAGCTAATCAAACTATATGTGACTATGCAACGTATGAATAGACCTGGATCATTCCAAATTGCACGTGCGTGAGGTTTTTCTCCTGTTTGGAAATGAAAAGCTCATGTAAAGAGTGGTAGGATAGAAAAGACTATCCAGCGTATTTGCAAGCTTCAATCCAGAGCAAAAGCATTATGCAGAATTACAAGGAATTAAATTTATTAGTAATTCTTAACTCTAATGTTGCTAGTTGAACCCTTTAATAGCATGTATGTAAACAGCTATCTGAGATGACTTCTGCCAATGTGCCGAATCATTGTTATTTTTCTAATATAACTGATAAATAACAGGTTGCCCAGAGAAGCTGTGGATGCCCCATCCCTGGAGGTGTTCAAGGCCAGGCTGGATGAGGCTTTGAGCAACCTGGGCTAGTGGAGGGTGTCCCTGCCCATGGCAGGGGGGTTGGAACGAGATGATCTCTAAGGTTGCTTCCAACCCAAACCATTCTATGATTCTATGATAAATATATTGTTAAAAAAATAAAAAAGAACATTCCTACAAACTTTTCATGTTGAATCATGCTTTTTTGTTGTTGTTGCATGTGCACCTGATAAAAGTCACTTTAATAAAACAGATAATTCACTCCAGTGCTGTATCAGGAAATGGACTGGGACCAGTTTGACTTGAATCCTAAAGTAATTGCTGCCCTTAAAAAAGGTAACTTAATTTTCCAATGTCTTGTTAATAGATCTGTCACCATACTGTCTTCCTTTTACATAATTGTGTTTGTGGGTGTAAGCCTGTAGATGTACAGTAACATTTTAGGACTGTAATTAAGTATTTCATAAGCCAGTTTTTTGAATAATTAGAAGTGATAGCTTTTTCGCAGGCTCCAATAATAATTTTCCAAACAATTTTATACCATGTGTTGATATATTCAAAGTAAATGTTGCTTGCCTAGCTTACAAGAATGCAGTGTAGGTAAACTTCCAAGTAAATGAGTAGTAGAAAGTGGGAAAACTTCTTCGGTGCAAAGACTGTAATCCAGCCAAAAGTATTTATAAAAATTCCTCTCATTTCAGCTGACATAAAATCAATAAAAGAGATTTTAAATCTTTCTGGAGCAGACTTGCAAAGACTGATGAAACTATCCAGTGCAGACATACAGTGCTTGCTGAAAACAGTGTCTCTCACACTGAGGAGAAATAGCATGCTTACAGGTAATACAGTCAATGAAAAAAACCCTGTTCTGTTTAAATCTTAAAATACTGTCACTGGGAGAAAATAAGGCTTCAGCTCCTCATTAACACCGTAATGTGATTCTGAAAATGAAAAGGTGTTTTAGTTATGCTTAGTGAATTATGTAACTATCCTAAGGATAGCTCCTCTTGAAACCTTGAAGGTAAAAGGAAGAGGATGGGTGTCATTCTTCAGGATCAAACCTGCTTGAAACAGGACAAAATGATTCTCCAGTCCGGAAAACTTGATTAGAGGAAAAAAAAAAATTCCCTCGCCCTTTTGGACTAAGACTAGTTGAAAAACATATATGATGTATTAAAAAGGGTATAAATTGATTGATATAAACACCTCATTCCAAACCAAACAGGACCTAATAGCTCATCCTGTACAAATGCTTTCATGGCAGCTCTGTACTTAGAATTTATTTTCTTGTGATTTGCATGTATCTTCAGGCCTTGGCCAGGTGCCTGCTGTGCTGTTCGTACTCTGCTATAGTTTTCCATTTTCATAACTGCTGTGCTTGGACCTTGCAGGTAGTATTTTTCCAGAGTGTAGCTGTCCGTAGAGACTTGGAGACAGAGAAAGGACAAAAGTTTGAGAGGAGGAAAGGGCTCAGTGTAAACTGTCAATTTTTGAACAGGCACTCAGTTAGCAGGCCCTGTGAGGAAAGGGAGGTGGGGAAGACCAGGCTGAATTAGAAAAATCTCCCATCAACAGAGAAGGCATTCCTTGTAGCATTCCTGGTATACAGCCTCTATTTTGTATCACTGTGCGTTAGAAAGATACTAAATTAAACTCCTTTTTTTCTTTTTCCTTTTTTTTCCCCCCTTTTAATCATTTAAAAAAACCCCAAAACCCTGCAGCACTTCAGCTCTACCAAGATAAAGATCATCTCACCTCCCAACACCAGAAACTAAGCCTTGGATGTTCAGTACTAGATAATTTGTTAAAAGGTGGCATTCCTTTAGTGGGAATCACAGAACTTGCCGGGGAAAGTTCTGCTGGGAAGACTCAGATCAGTTTACAGCTGTGCCTTTGTGTGCAATATCCTTACAAATATGGTGGACTGGACTCTGGTAAGTACTGAAATGCAAATATTGATTCATTTGCCATTCAGAAGAATATACTGTCTTTAAGAACATCATCAGTGCATTGAAGTAGATGCACATATTCAGTGTATGTCTTACCCTTCTACGATAGCATTAGCAGTAAGCTAGGTAGTTAGTAAAGCATTTTTATAGAGAGAAAAGCATGCTGTGCACGTGCCCTGCGTCACAATGTCATTTAATACAAAATTACTGTTGGCTGTTGTTTAGCTGCCTGCCACTCTGGGTTGACCTAGACACACAAAAAGCATTGACTCCTCAGATGACAACCACAGCAGAACAACTTGTCAGATAATTTTCTACTAATATCTTGGGTATATGGTATATATTCCCTAGCTGGGGGTTTCAAATTTTGAAGAGTATTTAGTTTTATAACAATAATTAAAGTGATTTACAGAGTAAAATTGATGGAAATGTAGTTGAAGAAAGTTAACATTGTTTCGTACCTGCAATTTTCCTGGTTTTGCCAAAGTAGGTAGGTTTATTGTTTGATTTGAGCATAGTCTGTCATACTAATCTAACTTCTAGCATTTTCTTTTGAGTATAATGCGCTGTCTTAGAAAGGGAGGAAATTTCTGTCACTTCTGAGGATTCAGTGTCCTGGTTGTCTGCCTTCGGTGTGTTTTTGCAGTGATCTTGCACTTCCTTCCACACAGCTTTGGGTTTAATTTGGCAGCTCAGTGGTTTGTTGTGGGGAAACTTAATTATTTCTTGTACTATATCCACTCCTGTGGAAAAACCATGGAATGTCCAAATGAACATCTTGCTTAGAGGACAGTAGTTTGCCTGTCGTTTACATTACTTTGCTTTAAGTTATGTCATTAATCAGAGCAGAAGCAAATATATTTTGTTCGATTCCTTCATGTGTTGCTGCTAACTGCTGCAAATATTTTGAATGCAAATACATTTTTATTCATGCCCCAGCATTTCTCCCTGTTTATGTTGAAAGAAAGGAACAAACCAGAGTGGAGTACAGATGAATGTGCCCAACATCCTAATGGCGCTCTTGTCTCTTGTACCAGACTACAGACTTCCTTGTAGGGCTACAAATGGCAAGTCTTTTCATTATTTGTGCTTGAAGAGGTTCTTGTTTTTTATGCGGCTAGTATTTGGTGCTATTATGATTGCTTTGTTGTGTCAGTGTTCCCCATCTGCTCAGTCCCATGTGTTTCATGGGAGATCGGATGGAATGGCTATCGTATCGATGCTCCTGTGAGAGAACTACAGCATTTTGGAAGAGCTGAGAAAACAACTTTTGAGGATCTTGACGGTATAGAAGGTGGAAATATCCTGCTGCAGGAGCTGGAGAGCTAGGGGAGTGGTGGAATCCTAATTACTGCAGTTCGTTACTCTCACTGGGGTATCTTGCCATATGTTAGACTGTGTACAGTCATAGCAGCAGATATTGTTTGCATAGCACTTAGAAAATGAAACAATTTCTCTGCAGTCTATAAATAAGGGTTGTGTTGAATCTCTTAGGAGAAATACAGGAATTAAAAGCTTCTGTTATGTATGAGGAGTTTTATTCTTTAGGAGACTTGAGGAGAAAAACAATGTGTAGTAACTGCCACAGAAGTCTAGCACTACCAATAGAAGATTAATCTCGGTGCTAAAACTTTGCTAATGATTTGAAATTATCATGAGTTTGAAATACATTTCTTTAGACAGTATAGATTTATTGTGTATTTATTTCGTTTGACTTAGTGCTGATCTTGTTTACAATTCTCAATGCTAGGAGGCTGGCAGCAAACAAAGAAAATAGGACATCCTTTGCCTCAAGGTTATCTTTCTGCCATTCTAAGAATGTCAGTTATGGTCAATTGCATGTTGGCTGAATTTATTTTATATGCCCATATTCATAAGTAATACATGAATATGCGACAAATTCATATACGTATTAGAATTCTGAATTGGAAAAATATGCTAATGATTCTTGGTAACAAGCTGGGTTTGGTGCATGACAGATTACGTTCATGGGACTCAAAATTCATCCTTCTTTGAGGGTGGGGTTTTTTAGTGTTTTTTCTTTTTGTTTGGTTTTGGGGTGTTATTTGGTCAACAACCGGCATAGAATTTTATCAGCCTAAGTAACAGTAAAGCACTGGGATTTGATGAAGTAGCTGGTTTCTGTTTGGTTTTGTGGACCTGTCGTGGAAGATGGTTATGAGATCACTGGGTATGACTGACTCCTTAAGAGTGTCTCAGCTTTTTTCTCAAAAGTGATAACTAACCTGATTCTTGACTTGCTTTTAGTGTTGAGAGCTTCTTGATAAACTGTATATAGCATGATGCCATGGGCTTTTCTTTGTGTTGTACTAGTCTCCTATTTTTTTTTAGATTATGATAATTCACTTATCTTTAAAGATATGTGACTATTAAGTGCTTTTGCCTCATAATTAGGCATCAGTCTTTAATACTGAGTTTAGTAATTTGACAATCTTTTCTAGCCCTTGTAACTTTGCTATGCACCTCCTGTATTTTTAATGCAGGGGTGTGTATTCTCATTAATCAAATGTTTCATTGTGGCTCAAACGGAAGAGCACAAACAAAGCTGAAGAGGCTTGACAAAGGTCTGGTAGGATAAAGTGCAGCTCATTGTATTGTGAAACACAAATTTTAAGCCAAGGCAAAGCTCATCTGATATATTTTATGTGGCTTAGCTCTCTTAAAGTTCAAGATGAAAATTACATTATTGTTTTGTGAAACAAAGAGCACTTAAAAAAAATAAGGTTGTCCCACTGTATATTTTGTAGAAATCACAAATGGACCCATTAGGTACTTGGAGTACAGTATCTGCTGCAGTAGATTTAACTGGTGTCAAAGAATCCTTACAGCAGAGTAGAAGATTGGCAGCTGAGTGAATGCTGGCATTTACAAAACTAAACTGAGGCAGGAAATAGTCTTAAGAAGTAGAACTGTTCTTAAGAAGGAATTAATCTTCCTGATCTTTTTTTTACAAGGGTTTCACTAAAAGAAATTAACCTGAATAAATGTGTTTGCTTGAACTTTAAAATTGCTGTCATGGTTTTAGGAAGAGGATAGTGTGTATCTGTTGAGCAGGAATTTTAAATCTAGGTTGCTGGACCAGTGGAACAGAGAGGACCGGATTTTTGCTTCTCAGCTGTTCTTTTGTGCCTACAGGTATTAACAGCTGTAGGGTTACTGTGTTTGCCTCAATTTGCTTGCTCATCAGGTATACATATGAAACTGGGCCACAATTGCATATATGTTTGTAATACAGTAAGATTGCTTGATCGTTTTATAATCTTCTGCTTTTGCCTTGTGTGTGTTCCTATCACGGTTCTTATCACTGTACTGAAATTATCTGCAAATAAGACCTTTAGGAGAATTTTACATTTCTTTTTCTTCAGATAAGTTAATTTTGGAAAAAAATGTATTTTTTAGCAGGGTTCTCGGGTTTTCTGTTTTGAAATATCTTGAATGTTGCAGTAACTTTGGATTGAAATACGATTGTCTAATCAACGGAGCATCAATCTATCTAGAAATAAAAATCTGTATTTGCAAAAACAACGATAAAGTCTCAAGTAACGGATGATCCATCATTCTTAAGTAAACTAAGGAGAGGACAAGGGACATACTGCTCAAGGCAGGTCTGATTTTTAGAAAGCAGATGCTTTCTCTGTAAGCCAGTATTCATGGTAAAGAAGTTCCTGTCTTTTAGAATTAGGCAATGTTGTGCAAAAGGCAACCAGCTGTAAGAATGGTAGCTGAGAATTCCAGAATGTTTTACTTTAGGAACTGTTAAGTTACTATGCTAACAGAAGTTAGCATAGCTTTTGTTATTATGAAATTCAGAAACCACATAGGCTTAAGGAAGCTGCATATCGCGGCAGGTTTTCTTTATTTCTTTGTTTGTTTGCTTCGTTTTGAATTTGCACCATAATGATTTTCAGTTTTGTGGTGTGAGTGTTGCAAGACATAATTGGCTTATCTGAGTGAGTGTTGGTGCTAAATATACATCATGTCAGATTTGTGATTAGAACGTTTTCTTAACTTACTGGCTTTTTAGAAATTGTGAAACTGAAAATCTGATTAGGAGTGCGTGAACTGCCCTTGGTAAAGACACTCACCTGCCTATTTGATACTCAGCTGTCACTGTCAAGTTGGAGAGTGATATGAAAATTAGTCCAATTGGGAGAAATTAACCTAGGGAAATAGTTAAGAAAGTTAAAGTTCACCTAATTAACTGTTTAATAATTAGCCATACATAAAGCCTTAAGCAGTTAAGTGATAGAATTAATAGTTTACTGTGTTTTCCTCGGCTGAACTTCATACATGTTCAGACAGTATACAACAAATTGCTGATGTCAGCGTAAACTTAATGGATTCAAGTAACTGTGGACTCATTTTCTCTTTTTTTTTTTTTTTAATTTTCCTTTTTTGCTGATGGAAATACGTGTTCATCTGTGTCTACAGGTATTGCATATGACTTCAGTCATTGTAATTACCAAAGACATTTATGCCCAGAGCTTAAAATTCAGAATTCCATCCACTCAAATGCTAGCAAAAAAGTGGGAAAAGTACAGAAAATATTAATGGTTCAACCTCTTAGTTTTATATATGTTGTAGTTCAGAAATCATGATCAGATCATGACTGCTCTGATTTGTGGTACTGACAGTGCTTTATTGTAGTCCTTATTCACTGTCAAATGTTGTAAACTGGTAACAACCCTCAGTTCCCTCTGACATAAATATGTCCATAATGAAATGGGGGAATTAAGAATGGAGATTGTATATTCTAGTGATAAATGCTGTTGGCTGCCAGGGCCAAGGAAAGTAAGAAGAAGCCAAAGTATAATTTGAACCTGTTATTAGGTAGAATGGAAATGGAAATTGTGGAAACATTTCAGTACCTCCTCTGGAGGCGTGGATGATGATGAAGTGTTTTTCCACATGTTAATAACTGAGGAAGGTCTTTAATTCTCACATATCAAAGACAATTTTTTAAATTAGTGGGCATAGGTAATTTTTTTTGCTTTATCTGATGGCTTTTTTAAAAAATAAGACTGTGTACTGGAAAAACAATTTATTTTTTTAATGTTTCACATGTGAAGTAGGGTGATTTGTGTAAGAAATTAGGGTGTCTTGGGGGAGAGTTAACCTGAAGATGCAAGTTAGTCCTAAAGAAAATTAGGCTTAGGCTCCTCTTTGTCTTATGCAGAAGATTCTCAGAATTCAATACCCTGTGTTATATAGGTTTCCATCTACAAAATATTTTTAAAGTAACCATTAATTTTTACTTATCCAGTCCTGAGATCTCTCAGTTTCTGCTGCTAGACATAGTTTCATATTTTTTTTCAGTGGAATATATAGAGGATTTGGAAGTTGCATCTGGAAATGGGACTTTGTGCTCCCTGGAGAGCCAGTGTAGGGATTGGACCATTGGGGTGGAAATGTTCAGGATGTCTTGTGTTGCCAAGCTCATCAGCAGCTTCAGACACTTTAGTGAGTGGACTTAATCCTTAGATGTAACCCTATAAGTATTAGCTGATAGTTCTGGCTCCTTCTGCAATGACAGTAACAAATTTTTATACAGAAAATATTGCATGTGTTTCTGTTTTCTTTACCTGACATCTTTGATGTGTATGCTTAATTTTCTCTGCAATAACACATACTTGTTAATCAGAAACCACAGTAAAACTATGTGGACATCACTCACAGTAACGTGATTGAAGTATAATGCTTTTTATCTAATCTGCCATTTTCAGGAAGAGTTAATTGGACTGAGATTGGATGAGTGATCCTCTTTAAACTGCCTTACAAATTGTGGTAATAAGTACACCTCCGTGTGTAATTTTAAAAGCAAGAAAGTTGAAAACAGTGAGTGAAATTAATAAAAATATTAGTTGTACTGGTTTTGGCTGGGATAGATTTGTTCATAATATAGTGCTGTGTTTGTATTTCTGACCAAAACAGGCAAACTATGCAGTATCGCTCTGTTTGTGGGTTGGAATAATGATGATACTTGTAATCACCCAAGTTAGGTGATCAGGTTTCTGCAGCTGTGCAAAATGAGTGTCACCTAGTGGAGAGTATAAAAATCCAATTGTGTCAGCAGACACCAAAAAAAGCACCTGGCAACTACAGGAAAGTCATAGGAGTGGTTTTTTTTGTTGTTCGTCATTGATTCAATATGGCTGTAAAAAAAAAAATAATAAAAAAGTAACATGAATTTCCAGGTACATAGGTGTAGCTTTTGAGCAGAGAATGTATTACTTTTATTTTTGTGCTGTTAAGAAAACTGCGAAAGAGCCCTGTTGTAACAGAGGTGGCTTCCTTGATTACAGGAGCTGTCTACATTTGTACAGAAGATGTATTCCCAAGTAAACGTTTGCAACAACTCATAGATCAACAACATAAGCTGCGTGCAGATGTTCCAGCTGAAATCATACAGAAGATCAAATTTGGAAACAGTATTTTTGTTGAGCATGCAGCAGACCTAGTAAGTAGTACCACAAATAATTAATATATAATTATTGCACTATAATCAAGTGACCACAGGGGTTTCTTTTGGTGTAGCAGACCCTTCAAAAGGCTACAAGTGAACTAAGATCTGTAATGAATACGACTTAATCTCTGCAATTTGCTGTTAGAAACTGTCTATTACGGTGTTTTATTATGAGAGATATTAAAAGATAAATATTGATATTTTTAAAAAATTAATCATGTAGTGGGGTTTTGTAAGTCATTACATTTAATAAAATGTAGTAGACTTACTGCTACTAGTTTTACTGCAGCTCCTAGAGAGATCTTCATTGAGTTTGGATACAGGATATAAATATATATGCAAAAGGTGGTGTGTATCCTGAGTAACTCGCAATATAACGCCAGAGCTGTTAAACTGCAATTTAAGCAGGTGGGAGGAAAAGATACAAACAATGATGCCTGGAATAGGTAATGGCACAGCACAACAACAGCAGTGCAGCTGGCTTGCGCCTCTGCCTGTAAGATGTCACAGTAGAAGCAGGGGGGAAAGGATACAAACTCTATTCTTGCCTTGTAAACCCACATTTTTGTGCTTTTTCTTAAGTAGCCATGAATATGCTCTTTATTGATAGAACATCAGAAGTTCTGTTTCCTCTAAGGCTTTAAAGTAGCACTTGTTAAATCATTCTAATTGTTGGAGTTGTTTTAACCACAGTCTGCAAGTGTAAGAAGATCTTGTACATTAGTATTCTTGCCACTTATTCACTGTGTGGTCCAGGCAGCAGCTAAGCTACCTTTCCCGTGTCCCTTTCATTGGAAATATTAATTAAAGTTCTAATTGTAATTTCTGGAAGCTACAGAGTATGTTATCGTAAAAAGGAAAGAATCACCCTATAGTAGTATGCACATCTCTCTAAAATACCCTTAGAAGTACAAAACTACACTCACCGGTAAGCCCAGCTACTGCACAATAGGTTACTACAATTCATATATTGCTATCTATAGATTTAGTTTGTGCGTGTGTGTATCCACATCATGAAATGCATTGCTAGATAGAGACAGGCAGATTGTAGCAACTGAAGTAGAAACCCAAATCACAATGACATTCTGTATTTTCTTTCACATAAAAAAATTTTTTACTTTCTTCATTCTGAAGAATCCAGTTGTTCATGTATTCACTTGAATAAGTCTTGTACAAACAGGAGGACCACATACAAACACCAAAGTGTTTAAGTGCAACATAGTTTCCTGTAGTATACCAGTAAGTGAAACAAATAAACAAAAAATTTCAATTTTCCAGAATGGAAAGAAGCCATATTCTTCAAAGTAATTTTTTCCCCTTAGGTTTTTTTTTTTTAAAAAGCCTTTGATATTATAATATTATTTATTTTGTAAAAAGCAGCTCATTTAGTAGAATAGAGCTTGCTGTAATTACAATTTGGTTTTAAAAGCTGTGGAATGCTGGAGGATATTGTATGTAATTTTGGATGCATATAAGCTTTTAGCTGTGAACCTCTGTTTATGGCACCAGTCAGAACTGTGACTCTCACACTATTGGGTTTTTTTTTCCCAGCATTGGGGTTTCTGATGGCCAGGAGCTGAGATTATCACCATGAGCTTGTTCTGCTTCCTACTCAGCTGCTGTAGACCACACTGTTAAAGACAAGATACTGGGCTATGAGGACCTTTCATCTGACTGATACGATTATTTTTATGTGATAGAAGTTGCACCCTACAAAATATTTGTCAGTTAAACTTTGTACAATTGAAATGTTTGGTGATTTCAAAATATTCAATGAGTAAAACTTTTAATAGAGAGGATATAAATTGCAGCTACTCATAAGACTCTTCATCAATATGGATGTGATGTAGCAGTTGGGTATTTTACTGTCAATATGTCATTAGTGGAACAGCAGCATAGTCAAACATCTGCTTTGAGTAGCCTTGAGTCCTCAGTGTTTCAGTGAGAACCACTCCTGAAAACAGGGATGGTTCAGGATTGTAGTGTTGCATTCCTGAGATTTTGAAGTGTCGGTACATAACTGATTTAAGTCAGAGCTGCAGGTAACTGTACATTGCAGTTTGGTCTTTTGATTTTTTTTCTTAAGGTAAAACCACAAGATATTTGTGAAAAATGGTTACTAGTGAGACTTAAAGATCCACAGACTCACTTTATGGTTAGAAACTCCATCAGGTTGTGTTTCTGTAGTTACTGTCTTGATTTTACAAATAGTTATTTGAACTGTTTTAATGCTGGCTGTTTGTATTTTGTTGCAGGATGCCTTTCACAACTGCATTACTAAAAGGATTTCCTTACTGCTCACAAGAGGCATGGTGCGGTTGGTGGTCATAGACTCTATTGCTGCTTTGTTTCGGTGCGAATTTGGAGCTTCAGATTCTGTTATGAAGGCTCAGTATTTGCAGACATTTGGAGCACAGCTTCACAGTTTAAGCACTAGATTCAGGACTCCAATAATGTGCATTAATCAGGTACGACAGCAAAATTGCTTCTCATTTTATAGGGACCATTTACTAAACGGCTGGGGCGGGGAGGAAATCTGTGCAGGCAGATTTCTTGGTGTTTAACACTGTCAGCTGAGTATTAATGACTGATGGAAACTGCAGTTTCCTTAAACTGGTGTACTTTAGTAAATTTGAACTTCTCAAAGTTTAAGAATATAAGTTAATCTTTTATAGATTGTTAAAGTTCTCAAAGGTTGTCCATTAAAGTTAACAAAAATATGTATGTATAGCAACTGCACAAAGCGTCAAACTGGAAGAGCGAGTTCTTTCTTAACACCAGCTTCAAATGCAACCACCAGCAGGATTGCTCTGGGAACTGTGCATGCACAGGTATATTCCACATACACAGGAGAGTGAAGCACCAGGGACTTTGCTGCATTTTTGTGAAGCTCGGCATTTTTGTGTAACTTCTGAGATTATCGAAGCATTAGAATTACAGGTCAACTCCAAATGTTTTTCTGCTTTAGGTGACTGATGCAGTGAGTGAGTCAGAAGCTGCTCAGTGCTGTTGTAGGTAAGTCATCCACAACAGAAATGTAAAAATGTCATACACAGCAGCATTTAACCATTATATTTTTTTAATAGCTCCAATATAAACTACCAGAGCATATGAAGAGCAGTAGTGCATTTGCCCAGCAATGCTGTATTTGCTGGAGATCAGCAATAACTAATGGGCTGTAAAGTGGAAGAAACTGTGATATACACGTATGTGGTAATCCCTAATCAGCAAGTTAGGGGGAAAAATTATTTGGAGTTAATGGCTGGTGTACTTGCTTACACAGGAGCATTTTTGCATCTCTTCTTGTTTCTGGTAGAACAGAGAGCATTTTCTGTCTGCTTAAAAAAAAATAGCAACCAAACCTTATTGATTTGTTTTGTTCAGAAAAAAAAAAGTTATCTTTTGACACCAAGGTATTAACAGGATATATATTTGTTGTTTGAATCCTAATTATAATCTTGATGTACTAGATAAGCTAGGTGCTACATAAATGTGTTATGTCCTCAGATTCAGAAGCTGACAGAGAACAAAGACGAGGATCAGGTTTTTTCCCCTGGTTATCTTGTAATTCTTTCAGTGGAGAAATGGCACTTTTTTCTGGAAAAAGAAAATTGTTTCAAACTGGTTATCTTGTAATTCTTTCAGTGGAGAGATTGCACTTTTTTTCTGGAAAAAGAAGATTGTTTCTAGCTTTGAGTTGAAAGTAATTCATATGCAGTGTTGTACCTGCCCAACATTTCTAAAAATACATTTGAATGGAATCCAGGGCCAACAGTTACACATTTCAAATACTTTTAAGTTCAACTGTTTTTCTGTTGCTATTTACCTCTTACAAGAGGGGACCCGTCAAGACAGAGGCAGGGATTCACTATTGCTGTAGTTGGAAGAATGACTGAATTATTCTGTATAGAAGCACTTGTCTTCCAGTTGTTACCTCGCTATAGAGAGACCCTAGTGTATAGTTCTGTGAGTATACCCTGTAATCTCTGCCTTCAAAGACCTATAGTTTTAAATATAGTAAACAACAGTAAATATCGAAACAGTAGATAACTTATTCCAGTGTAATTTTGTTACAACAGAAGATATTTAATCTTAAATTCATACATGCAGAAATCTGTAATGCTTCTTTATAGTGCAGTGGATAACAGAGTCTCTCCAGCACTTGGAATAACCTGGGCAAATCAACTGCTAATGAGATTGATGGTCAGCCGAATATCACCACCTGAACAATCATCCGGAGTTGCATCACACCACACTGGAAGTGTGAGGACTTTAAGAGTAGTTTTTGCTCCTCATCTCCCTCAATCCTTTTGCTACTATACAGTAAAATTGGAAGGTGTAAAAGGAATAAGATAAATCCTTTCTATAGTAAAGCATCCTGCTCCAAAAAACCAAAAGTATCAAAACTACTTTGCTTCAGGAAGAATTACTAGTAAAATTAAATTCTTCCTAGATGAGAGAAATAGATGCTGAACTACGTAAGTGGTGATAAGACAATATGTTAAGCATTTTCTACATTGTGAAAGAAGATCTTTTATGCTTGGATGTATGTTCAGCAGCTTTTCCTCATGAGAAGTTTTCTGAAGGAGAGTAAATCTGTGGGCAGGTGAGTGCAGCACAATGAAGTGTGATGTGGCAATCCCCATGTTAGGGGAGGCCTGATTTTTAATTTTCTTTAAAGAGCATGGTAATCTAGAAACAGCATTTACTGCAAGTGCATTATACCTTCTCTGTTTCCAGACCCAAAGGGACTCAAATTCAACCAGTCTGGTGGCATTTCTAGGCCTTGTGCTGCTATTATACCCAAAGGGACTCAAATTCAACCAGTCTGATGGCATTTCTAGTCCTTGTGCTGCTATTACGTATAGCCATTCTTCTATCTATAGGGCCTCAGAAATAACACAAAGCAACTTTGTCATAAAGCAGCTATCCTATTGTAAAACCACTTGTTACTAATGTTAGGATTAAAAAAATGCCAGAAGCATACTTGATTTTAACATCTTACTATAAGAACTAAAATTGTACTGCTTTTGTGCAGTATCAGCATATATAACTTCATCAACTTGTACAATTTTTTTTTAAATTGTTTCTACTCTTTTCCTGCTTTGCAGTTCCCTCTGTTCATAGCAAAAGCCTTTTTAGCCTCTTCCATTTAAAAAATAAAAAAAACCCACACACCTCATCTCCTTGTTCTGTTTGCCCACCTCTGGAGCTGTGTAACCAAGCGGTTTCAGAGTAAGAGCTCTGTTTGTGTTCTCCCTGATACGCAGCGTGGCTCTCGCTTTTATTGGCTCTGGGTAGCATTCTTGATCAGCTTCTGCACTGCTACCTCTCTTGTCTTCTGTCCTTTCCGCTGGGCTCTGGGCTGAATTGTGCTTCTGAAGGGCACCTTTAGCCATGGGAGCCATTACTCCTCTCAGGTTTCCAGTGTTATTGTTGCTAGAGCTTTACATGTTTTTCTTTCCATCTTTGCACTACTTAGCACATCTTTTTTGTTCTCCTCAGACTACTGCTATGACCTCTGCTTCTTCTAGTCATTTTTTTTCTGCATTCACTGTGAAAGAAATCTAAATGAAGTTACTCATGAACATTCTCCAAAGGCTTTAGACCTTATTTGACCTCCATTATGCAAGTACCTGCTCTTACCAGTGTATGATGTTCACTTGTATCGCATACTTGTTAAGCTTTCAGATTCCCCCTTCTACCTGCTTCCCCAGGTTGCCCAGACAAGAAGTCTACCAGAGTCTTAGGGGTTTTTTTGGTGTAGTTACATTGCTCAGTTCTGTCTTCTGGCAAATGAGAACCTTTTGTTCTCTGTAGTCTAAACAATAAAAATCTCTCCCACAAATGTAAGTTCAGAAGAATGACTATCACTTGGTAAAACACAGGTCCAGATACATTCCTTTTGTGTTGTTCAGGTAGGCTGTATTAGTGAAATGGCCACTTCCTCTACTTTTCCCCAGGAATGCTCTTTAAGGATGTATAGTACCCATCTTTTCTCCTGGAAGCATGCAGCTGGGTAGCAGAAAGGAAATGTCACAGTTTACCTGGTAAAAACCACTTTCACCAACACATTTAAGTAACATCTTACCTGAGCAAGACTTCCTGTCATTGCCCATGTTAGTTGTTATCTAACTATCCAGATGGAGACTTAAATCTGAGTCAGAGTACGTTCAGTATGTTTCCTAGCTCATCATCACACACAAGCCCTGAACCTCTAAACCCCAACTGACCCCCAGGCTTATAGTCAATCACTTGCAGCAGCTGAATGTTCATCTGCAGTTTCTACCCCTTTCTTCAGTCACTTACATCCACAGTCAGAAATCTAGAATGTTGTTCGTCTTTCTTTAGTACAGCTTTGGGGGGTGCAGACCCTCATGAAGACTGAACAAATCATCTGCCCTCTTTGAAGCTGTGTGTCAAAAGTGTTTTAATAAATGCAATTTAAGAACCTTCCCTTTATACAGCTTTATTCATCTTTGGATTTCACAACTGAGATTTGTTTCTATACAGGAAAAAAATTGAAGTAATTTTACAAAGAAGATTTAATCTAGAATGTATTAAGTATACCACCTTTATCCTGTAAGACTACATTTAAATATTTTTCTACACTTTGAAAAGAAACATTAAATAACACTTGAGAAACTTTTAAACAGTTTCAAATCTATATAACTGTGATGTATTTAAAGAGGCCTTTTTTATCAGAAAGATCATATAGGGTTCTGGAAACATTGCTCTGAAAAAGTAGAACCAAATTCATTTGTGCTTGGTAAAGAGAAAGAATTTACACAACTGACCTATTAACAAAATAGATGTAGTAAAACACACTAAACAATCTCACTACAGGTTTCTTGATGAAATCACAGTGAATTGCTACTATTTGTTATAAATAACATTTGTGGAAGTTTATTTTCAACAGAGTTTTAAGGGGTAAGACAAACACGTGAACTCTGACTGGGATTTCATCCATAGCTGTGACAAGCAGTAACTACACATGGAGATCAAAATGCAGCATCTTAAAGCCAGTCTTGGAAGGTTTATTATTATTTTTAAATCAAACATGAAATCCACATATTGGGGAGGGGAGCTCTCCTCAAGAAGGATACAGTGACATTTCAAATGGTTTTCTGGGGTTTTTTTTGTTTGTTTTTTGTTTGTTTGTTTGTTTTTTTAACCAGGTCCTAGAAAACAGAAAATACCATTCCTGATTGCACAGAACTCATCTGGCTTAATTACACTGTAACCTACCAGCACTGCTGTGTCATGCTGCTACACAGTTCAAAACTAAGGACTCTGTAACTTGCCATGCTTAAATTGGGACTTGAATATCAGTAGAAGGAGCCTAAGGAGTGAGCTGGTTTTAAAAACTACTTCACTATGCTTGTTCCATGCTGTATACAAGTTATAGTCTCTCTCAATTATGTGTGCCAGCACAACCGGTAGAGCAGCTTTGAGCTTTCTGATAGAGCTGGAGCATTAAGTGACCTTCCCACTATGCTTCTCTAAATATTTGTTATTTAAAAGCAGCCATAACTAAGGAGCAGTTTTGCAGCATCACTATGAGCATAAGCAACTTCTCAAAAGCTCAGGTCTTCTGACCTCTCTCAGATGGTGGCACTGTATTTTGCTTCTTGCTTTGTAGTTTTGGACTTTAAAAACAGAACAAAACAAAAACAACTATTGACCTCAGCTATTCAGTGTACTGAGACTGTTGTGAATGTTTTGGGGATAAAAAAATAAATGTAGATGTTAAAGATTCCCCTTAATTAAAAAAAAAAAAAAGAAAGCCAATGTTTAAACCAGTACTTCTGTAAGTACTTCTGTGACAATGTAAAGTTGCTACAATGAAACTGTGAACTTCACAGCATCACATCTTTTAAGTTATTCTCTCAGTACAGGCTAACATTACAAAAAATGCTATTCTCGTAGCAGCTTTCAGACAAAATACACGACCTGCATAACAAAAACTAAAGTAACTTGAACTCATCAAGTATTGTAAACACACTTTCAATGAAGCACTGCACACCCCATTTCACTATATATATATTTACAACAGAACCACACCGGTTTCAAAATTATAGGATTCAAATGGTACAATTTAAGCACAAATCATTCTTAAGCTTAAAAGCATTTTAATTTACTACCATTCAGGAGGGCTTCCAGGGGAGGGCAGGGGGTGTTGTTTGTTTTACAAAAAGGTACAAACTCCAGAGAATGTGCCCAGTTGTTTTTCTGTTGCTTAAGTGCTATGTTCTATCACTGCAGTACTAAAAGCACAAACATCACAGCAATAGGTCAGTTATTCCTCTAAAAGAGGAGCAAATCATGAAACAGTTACATTTTACAGTAATATTTCATAAGATCTAAACTCAGGACCAAATATTGACAATATTCCTAAAGACTAGCACACAACCAGACAGATAGAAGGGCAACAGGCACCTTTCTATCGGTAACAATTCGATGTATGATCCATCCTACACCGCGACCCTCGCTGACTGCACACCCCAGAAGAACCAGCCACTGCTCGCAGGAGAACCTAGAGGAGCTGGCCTAACCAGGAGTCCTCACTGGGTTGTTAATGAGGTTCACCCTTCCAGTTCTGGGCAAGGACAAACATGCTAAATTTAAAACAAACCAGCACTACCAAGGTTGCAGTCTTCCTAACAAGATGTCTGTCAGTTTTGAATGTCTTTTCTAATCTTCTGTTTCATCAGAGCTGTTGATTTAGTTCAGTACTGAAGACATCCCAGAATTATACAATTGGGTATTCTGGTTTTATACTTTATGCAGACTGTTAACTACCACTGAAACAGAGGAAACGCACAAAGAAAATCTGATAAAAGCCAACTGAGAAGCTCACCTGAAATCTAAAGATATATAAACCATGTCCTGACAGTAATTAATTAATGATACAAACATAAGGAAGGTTCACCTTAAAATTGGATTTATACATGCTTTAGTGGGATTTGTCAGTGTTAGGTTTATGGCTGGACTCGATGAACTTAATGGTCTTTCCCAACCTAAATAATTCTATGATCGTAAGTTTTTCCTCAAACTGCAAACAGCTCATTGGCTTGTAACTGTAAGGACTTGGCTATCACTTACGGATTTATGGATTAGAGAATTCTTGACATTTGCTTCTTCTCTGAAAAAAAAATCAACCTTTTAAATTTAAGAATTGTTTAATAAGCAGTAGCTCAACAATTTAAACTTCCAACACACTTTAAAATACTATATAAAGGTTTAAAACATTTAAAAGCACAGTACTAGTAATGCCACCAACAGTATGATCCTCAACGAGAAAATCTCCCTCACTATCACCATGAACATACCACAGTCTTGCATTTTAAAAACTT